CTACTGAAACTTACTTTCGTGAGTACTGTGCAATAGACCAAAATAATAAAAAGAGTTTTTTTATTTTACTTTTTAAAGTTGTAAGGCCAAGGTCAAACATTATAATAGTGTCCCATAATTGTCATACATGAGTAAATTATACGTTTACGTTATTTACAATAAGAACATCTAAAGCATCTTGAGATGTGTACCAGTACAACGATAAAACCCATTCGATATAAGAAATTGTTATTTAGTTGTGTTAGTTATAGCAATGGCGACCGCATGGCGCCAATATGTCGCCGCGATGGCGCGCGCCGCATACGTGACTAATCGGCCGATCCCGGACCGCGGGATTCGACGCCAATGAATCGTAGGATCGACCTGCAGATCCAGTGAATTCGGAAATAGTATTATCATAGAATATGTACTGCTAATCCAAAGGACTTAACTTTTGTTTATATATATATATATATATATATATATATATATATATATATATATAACAAAATTTAAGGTATATAATATAAAAATAGTTTTATTAATGTTAGTAATGCACATTCTGATAAGAGTAGGAATCAGCACAAACTAGCTATATCAGTTACACGACCCTAAAGAGTCCGCAATTCCTTCATGGGGCAATGTATACGCTTTTATAAGTCCCAGGAATTGTGTTTTAAAATGTTTAAAAATTTTATGTAAGCAAAACTGTACTTCATTGTATAGATACAGAATAACATATTGTAAGTTATATATATATATATATATATATATATATATATATATATATATATATATATATATTATATATAAAAAGGCCCGTGTGTACTTCTGTACCTACCTACTTGCCATGACAGAGGTTTTTCGAACCAGTGGTAAAGCGTAAATGATTTTCAATAAGTATACCTGTGATCTATATTGAATAAAAATGATTCTATTATAAACTTATAAGTACTAACATATTTTAAAACTCAACAGATTTTCGTCACTGGTCTTACTTATATAAATGCTAGCTGTTACCATTGAACAGCTACCTGCCCGTTTCGAAATAATTGTAAAAAACGTCATAATATTATGTCCTAATACACGTCATAATCCACTACTATGTCTGATTTCACTAAAATCTGAATCTAAGATTATACCGAGACATTTTAGCGAGTCTGATATTTTAATTTTAGTGCATTACCATTCCAATTGGTGCGATTTATCAGAGGAGTGTACCTTCAAGACACTAAGCAAGATAGGGGCGGAAGCTGCTTATAAAACTATAAAACCTTAGTTTTACATGTATGTATTAAGTAATATCTGATATAGTTTTAGATTCTTATTTAAGCGCCTCGATAGAAGCCCCATATCACCTTCTGTTTGACAAACTGCAGAACTATTGTTATCATTGAAAATGACGGCGGTGTCATCTACGTAACAAAATATATCAGAAAGAGAGTATGTCCAAGAATGCCTTGCAGCGCAAGAAAAAAATTGGACTCGGACTGGTCTGCTGCTTGTGGATCTTAACGCATTGCTGACTTCTCGACAGAAAGATTTCAAACCATTTCAAGATATTACCTATAATAACGTGGGCTTTCAGTTTTCCGAAAATGCCTCTGCAAGGTCTATAAAGATGTCGATGCGTTTGGAACATAAGCTAGTAGCTAAGAATTCCCCTCCCCCCCCACGAAGAGAAATTACGCGATACTTAGGTCATCCTTTTGGTCATCTTATCCCAATTTCGCTGTACATATTTACGAGACAAAAGGTTATTTATTTTCAAATTTATTGAATCATCAGAAATCTATCATTACTGTTGATATAAAACGTCTAAATTCTTTCAAGACCACAATCACAATTGATTAGAAGCTTAAACCAATGAAATGAAGACGGTGTACAAAAATGTGTAGTTATAATGTCACGACAGAGAATATTTTGTTATATGTTCGACAATATATTTGTATTTGCTCTAAAATAATTTAAATAATCATCCAAGAACAAGTCATAGCTAAAACAGGCAATATAGCTCATGAGCAAGCCGATGACGGCGCCATCGGTATTATTTGCTTGGTGAAAGTCGTATCAACATCACGACTTCCCATACATTAAGCTTAAGCGACCGTGCGAATGTATTACCGCGGCCGCGACGCGACGTTATTAGTCTGGATTTCTTAACGAAAAAACTGACCTCTCATCATTTTCTCATTTCGTCCGGTAGCGTCACATGAAAAGAAATTTCCTTAATTGCAACACCGACAATCATTGCACGTCCCTATTGTGTTGGTGTCATCATTTTACCGTTCCATGTTTTAAACATTTGAATGCAATTATTTGTTACAAAGCTACTAGGTTATATTACTAAAATCACTAATATAACCAAGATAGACTGCACTGCGCTACATTACTAAGATTGGTAAGTGAGTGTGGAATATAAAAATCCAAGTAAAAGACAACTAAATTTAAATAGGGTTCTTTTTAAACACGAACGCGTAAAGTTTCTGTGAAATTTGGCGCCAGATTGGTATCTATGGCTCTTGGGTCCCGGCTCGGTCCGGTCTTATCTCGTGTTGAGATCGACACCCAATCAACGGTCGAGAGGTCCGTTTGCCGGCACCTTTGACTTCTCTTTGTTTTTACACGTCAACGTGAAACAGGGTAATGAGCGCCGGTCTTTAAATTTTATTTTATTGAATTCACCAGACACACCGCAATTGATTCTACTTTTAAATTAGGTACCAGTCACTTCTTTTGTTTTAAGTAGGATATCTTTATTGTGCTACTAACGTAAATTAAAAGTAAAATGTTTATTGCATCAACTATATTTACCTATATTCTGAAATCTTCCAGTAATATAAAAAAATATATATATATATATATATATATATATATATATATATATATATATATATATATATATATATATATATAATATTTAAAGTTTTCAGTATACAAGCAGTTTTTTTTTTCATTGAATAAATATATTTTCAATTAAATTTTCATTTTTAATATTACTAAAAGTTAATGTTATTTTTTATAATTAGTGAGAAATGTTATTAAAAGACCAATCATACGTAGGCGGAGCTGCCAGTTCTACAACCTTTTGAGAAAAAAATAAATACACGTGTGGTGTGAGAAGCTAAGATGCAACCTCTTGAACGCCTTCGCTCACTTGCTCTTAAGGCCTTGAATTAAAAACCATAAAATAGACTTTGTTACGTTGTAATACGATACAAATTAAGTTGGAAATGTGTATTTAGCGGCATTATCTTTGGAACGCCTTCGAGGCGCCACAACTGCCCGCTTATGAGCCATAAACCAATTCCGGTAGCATAACTATTACCAAGATAGGATTTTCAATATTAGTTGGTATTATAGAATGCAATTGTTTAAAAACTGCAAGTTACTGATTTTATTTTTTAAATGTGTGCAGAACTACGTAAAATTTTTTAGTGGATATTTTGTAATTAATTTAAAACAAGTAAATAAAATAGCATTTTAAGTAGATATCTTTCGCTTTTGACTATATATTATTTGATTTGATAATTTAAATTTCCAAACAATAAGGTATTCTGTGTCTCAAAATTTTATGTATTTCGTTTCTCACGAAAAAAAATTAATATTAGGTATGTTCTTAAGCAACAGAATTATAAAAGGTTTAAAAAATAATACTGTTGAAAATATTAAAATGCGGACAATATTTTTAACGGCATATGGATAATTTTTAAGAGGTAAAATTAAATAAGTGACAATCAGGGACGTGCCTGACCGTATGAGCGAAAACCAGTTTTGTTTATGGTAGGTATCGATACAGGTGTTACACACGAGCTTTGTTGTTGGTTTATCGCGAGATCGATGGATGTACATATTTAGATTTCAGAACAATTAGTTTTACTTTTAATCAGTTTGTCTGTATGAAATAATTTAATCTAAAACATGATTAATCACTGAGAAATTATTGTTTATTGGAAGTTTGTTATGACAAAATATAATCATTGTGTAATTACAGAAAAAAGTATCTTAAACTCGAGTTTAAATATACGATTCGTATATCGATTGCTTAGATTATTAAGAGAAAGAGAGAGAGAAAGATACTGACAGATACGTATATAAAATACACGTACTCCTTGAGTAGGTATTTGCATAATTTACACACACCGAAATACAATACAAAATTCATTATATTTTTAAACAATACAGCGGTTTCTTAACTAAGCTCGAAACTTGTATTGGAGGATCCAAGAACTTCACTGACACAATTTACAGAAATTAATGTAAAGTCTAAATAAATGAATATAACAGACTATATATTTTACTTGAGAAATATCTTATTCTAAGATATAAGTAATATTACATCTATTGCACCCTTGTATTCATAATACTCAAAGATTGCAACGATCGTAACCTTACAACACAGCTACGCCGGCGCCGGCGCTAAGCGATCAGCAGTTACCCTTGGTGTTATAATGAACCTCGACCAGCTCACATATAAAGCAATTTAAAATACTATTTGGAAAGCTGTGTTTACATAAAGTTAAAAACTGTTAAATTTTTGTTTGCTTAGATATAGCGACTTAGCACCTAAGGCTTCATCACCAATAACCATCAGGTGGAGTTGTAGTTATAATAAGCTTTGTATAAACTAGAAAAAAGTAATCAATAAACCATAATATAGCCAGAAGAACCGACAATCGAAAAAAAAACACAATATTACTAGCTTTTCCTGGCCACACTTTAGTGGTATTGTATACGGGGATCGTGTCTCGCTGTATAACGAGCCGGCGTCGTTTGTATATCTGTTCATCGTCTTTTTGTCGTCCACAGCTTCCGTTGGTCCCACTTATAGACAATAAATGACTTTGAAACCAGTGTGATATAAATCGGCCCCCTATTGTTAAAGATATTTGAACCTTATACTATTATAACAGCAGTCAATTTTGAGCGGTATATAAATACAATACCCACACATTTTTCCGTTTTAAGTTTTAATTAAATATTATTAACATTAACTTACGATTAAATTTTGTTTGTTACAGAAAGAATACTAGAACGCGACGCGGGCTTTGTCTCCGGGGGCGATGACGACGATTCGTGCTCAGGTCCAGCCCATTCTGACGACTCCGGGGTCAGACTAGTCGAGACCGACTCCCGACCTAATAGAGAACGAACTCCCACCCTCCTTCAGCCGCCCAAGAAACGCATTCGATTGAGCTCTAGAGACGATCTAACCAGCCCCGAAAGCGACTCGAACCCATTCAGGCCGTGGTCTTTTGCCGAAGAGCCGCAAAGAGAACCTTTGTCTTTAGTCAAGAAGACCAGCGAAACTAGTCTGTTAAGGCAAAGGAGAAGGCCATTAGAACCTCCACCTTCACCAATACCTCCACCTTCACCAATACCACCACCTGATAGAGCTGGACCGCCACGAGTGCCATCTCACCCAGGTGTAGTAGAGTACACGGAGAAAGCAAAGCCTAGGGAACAAAGGAATTATAAAAACATGACAAGGGAGAGGCGAATCGAGGCCAATGCGAGGGAGAGGACGCGAGTACATACAATAAGTGCAGCCTTTGATACCCTTCGAAGAGCGGTGCCCGCGTATAGTCACAACCAGAAACTGTCCAAGCTGTCGGTGCTTCGGATAGCCTGCGCGTACATCGCTGCTTTGTCAGCGGCGATAGAGCCCGACTCCGATCTTCCAGCAGCTGTAGAAACTGTTACGCAAACGATTCACACCGAGGGTAAGCTCAGGAAAAAGAAAGATGACCCTTGAGTGCTAAAAAGATATATGGTGCAGCTATTTGCAATGCCGTCCTTGAAGCCTTCATTTGCATGGGAATGAGCTCGAAAAATCGGAATAATTGGTTACTAAGGAGAAACCTCAAGTCCGATTTCATAGTATATTCGAGAAGGGTGAAACGGTCAGGGCTTCCTTAACTTTCTTATATCTTTTAAGATTTGTATTTTGGATACAATAGAACAGATCGAATGAATTAAACAAGCCCTGACTTGGATTAGAAGGATATAAGCCTATATTTTCGACTGTTGGTACAAAAGCGACAATAATATTGGATAATAAAAGTTTACAATTTATTTGAATTGCGTACGTAGTCGTTTTTGTATTAAAGTTTTATATGAAACGCAAGAATATGCGATTATTGGCTTTATATGCTGAATCTTTACTATATATGTATATATATATATATATATATATATATATATATATATTAATAGTTAATAACAATTTCTATAGAATTTATTGTTACTGTTCATTGGGATCTTAGGCCGTCGCGTCGTTTAATTTTTAATAATAACGAATTTTGTATTCATACTTGGCGTTCCAATGTTTTATTCGTAGATATACTATAGAATGCAGTTTTTTAAATTATATGAATTATTCAAAACGTATGGCAATCTAATCGACAGTAATTATAATAATTGATATTCAAAAATAAGTTTAATTAACGTTCCATGGATTATATTCGGTAAGCTTAAGCAATATCATTTGCTATGAAAAAAATACCATAGCCAATAATTTTTGACATTTTAACTAACTTAAAAAAAGGTTCCTATTTTAAATGTAAAGTAACGTAATTTCTGACTTTAGATAACTAATTTGCTGACTTCTAATCGAAAGAGTAAACTTTCGCAGTTATCTCACATAATACATATAATTGAACCAGATCAGATAATTACGGTTTAATAAATTTGCCTATAACTTTTTAACTTTTCTGCGAGGGCCTTTGATCCGGCTAACATAAGTATACCCATATGAAGTTAACCATTCCCCTAATCCAGTATTAAAGTACGGTGACAAAAAATTTAGTCTCATTTGTAAATGATGATGTATTTGGCTTTAATGTTTTATATTTATTTAAAAACCGAGTCAGTAATTTTAAGGGAGATTTGTATATTATAAGTAATACTTATAAGATAGTAAGGTGTAAATAATAAATGTAATATAGCATAGTATATGGTATAAAGAGGTCCTATTATAAATCGAGGCAACATTGTATAAGAAAAAGAATATTTATAGGCATTTTAAGAACAGCTAAATTCTCATATTATGTTTCAAAACATTTTAAACGACATTTTAGTAATTGATAGTTTCATCAATATTATTATTATGCCTATCGAATATTTTTTAGATATTGTATAATACACTTGTAATTACTTTAAATTTACATTCTAAATCAGCTTTATTGCTTTAAAATATATACCATACCATAGATTAAATAAAAATCCTAAGGCCTTATCTTCAGGGTTGTCATTTGCCATGTGATCACATAAATATAAGCCGCATTCAATAAGAGATTAAAATAACTAGAAAACATATTAAACCTGTATAATGTTATTATATGAATTATTGCGTCTGTTTCACGTAACTAAGTAGCCCAGAATGCCTCGAGAGTGGATTGTGATATAATTTACTGTATATAAACAATAATAATTAAGGGTTAATATAGCGATATCAGCATTGTTGTTGAGTTGATATCTTTAATTATTAAAACCGATCACTTCATAAAAGAAATGTCTTACAAATTTTCATATTTGTCAGGTATGAAAAACTATTTATACAAAATAAACGCAGCAAAGAAAGTAATAAAAGGATGATGTTGACAAAATACTTTTTTGTTTCATTTGATTTTTAAACATACATTTACCATGTTTTTCATGAGTCTCTGTCCGCTGGACATACGTGTTTCACGTTCAAGGGAGAATTTGCGCACATTTCACGCTGCTTCCCGTCGGCGGTCCTATATTATAATTTATACGTTATAAGTATAAACTGTATAACTACTAACCTCGTAAGTCTGCTGATCGTAAACGCAATTACTGATCATGAGGTCATGGGTTCGAATCCTGAGTCAGGCCGAATATCAGTTACTGGTTTTCTCTGACAAGAAATTCTCAGTACCAGCCCGGAGTCACGAAGTTGGCGGCAATTCAAACGCGTGCCTCGGAAAGCACATAGTCAGTCAATCGTCCTGCGCCTGATCTCTCTCCGGTCGTGTTGCATTGCCGTCCCATAGGACCACGAGAGTTAGGGAATAGAGTGCACCTGTGCTTGCTCATACACTCGGGCACTATAATCCTGTCCTGTGCAAGAATATATAATATCCTTCAGACCGAATTTCGGTCTCGGCGGCCTGCCTCAACGGAGGCTAGCCATCGGCGCAGGACAGGATTATAGTGCCCAAGTGTATGCGCAGACACAGGTGGACTCTCTATTCCCTCACTCTCATAATCCGATGGGACGGTAAACCGACACGACTGGAATGAGATCAGGCGCAGGACCAACTGCTTTACGTGCTTTCCGAGGCACGGGGGGTGAGACACCGCCAACTTCCTGACTTCGGGCAGCTATTGAGAATTTCTTGACAGAAAAACTCAATAGTTGATTATTTGGCCCGACCCGGGATTCGAACCCAGGACCTCATGATCAGCAGTCGCACTACTACAACCACTAGACCAACGAGGCAGTCACAAGAATATATATTTCCGTATAAAATAAACAGAGTTACCAAGAGAAGTAAGAAAACATGTATAAAGATAAAAAAATTAAGCACCCACACACTATAGAGCCAAACATCAGCAAAATTCTCATATTATGTTTCAAAACATTTTAAACGACATTTTAGTAATTGATAGTTTCATCAATATTATTATTATGCCTATCGAATATTTTTTAGATATTGTATAATACACTTGTAATTACTTTAAATTTACATTCTAAATCAGCTTTATTGCTTTAAAATATATACCATACCATAGATTAAATAAAAATCCTAAGGCCTTATCTTCAGGGTTGTCATTTGCCATGTGATCACATAAATATAAGCCGCATTCAATAAGAGATTAAAATAACTAGAAAACATATTAAACCTGTATAATGTTATTATATGAATTATTGCGTCTGTTTCACGTAACTAAGTAGCCCAGAATGCCTCGAGAGTGGATTGTGATATAATTTACTGTATATAAACAATAATAATTAAGGGTTAATATAGCGATATCAGCATTGTTGTTGAGTTGATATCTTTAATTATTAAAACCGATCACTTCATAAAAGAAATGTCTTACAAATTTTCATATTTGTCAGGTATGAAAAACTATTTATACAAAATAAACGCAGCAAAGAAAGTAATAAAAGGATGATGTTGACAAAATACTTTTTTGTTTCATTTGATTTCTGTTTATTTTATACGGAAATATATATTCTTGTGACTGCCTCGTTGGTCTAGTGGTTGTAGTAGTGCGACTGCTGATCATGAGGTCCTGGGTTCGAATCCCGGGTCGGGCCAAATAATCAACTATTGAGTTTTTCTGTCAAGAAATTCTCAATAGCTGCCCGAAGTCAGGAAGTTGGCGGTGTCTCACCCCCGTGCCTCGGAAAGCACGTAAAGCAGTTGGTCCTGCGCCTGATCTCTTTCCAGTCGTGTCGGTTTACCGTCCCATCGGATTATGAGAGTGAGGGAATAGAGAGTCCACCTGTGTCTGCGCATACACTTGGGCACTATAATCCTGTCCTGCGCCGATGGCTAGCCTCCGTTGAGGCAGGCCGCCGAGACCGAAATTCGGTCTGAAGGATATTATATATTCTTGCACAGGACAGGATTATAGTGCCCGAGTGTATGAGCAAGCACAGGTGCTGTCGCTTAGTCACTGAACTCTATGGCTGCGGTGTGCGGTCTGTTCGATCGGAGAAGAACCACGCTTTCATAGAATACCAGCGTAAAATAACTGCGCAATGTTGCTATGTTTCATAAATGTTAATTGTAGAGAATATCTTCCTCAGGATTATTAACACATCAGCATTTTGATTCCCAATCGGTGATAGATGAATGTGTCTAAAGGTCACAAAAGCTCAGGCCACTACATATAAACAGGTGGATTGTGTAATCGTTGATTAAATTAGTTCTATAAAAAAAGTAAAATATATTTATGAAGGATTCCATTTTTAATTAAAGAAATGGAGAACAAAACATCAATTTTTAATATTTAATAATATTAAAAAATGTAATTTAAAATAAAAGCTTTTTGTACTAAAGGGACAAATATTAATTTTGAAAATTTTAGTGTATTGGTACAAAATATGTTCAATGTAGAAGAAAAAGATCTTTGACCGAAGCCGTAAAATACCGGAAAAACGATGTTTTCTAATCAATATGCACGAAATAGGAAGTATAGGGGACCCCATCTGTTTGCAACAATGGGGTTTGTGATCCATGCAGCTGCTAAGCGCTGGGCTGATAAGAGACCACGTGCCCTTAAATCAATATAAACTGTGAGTTATCTGTGACATTTGTGAAAAGAAAGAGCAATATTAAATGTATCTGCGAATAGTATAGGGAACAAAATATTTTAGTTGTTTTCGCCGCGAAAAATGCCGGTCCGACAAAAACAACTTAATATTCTATCCGCATTGACTTTTATCTCCAATTCTGCTTGAATATTAACAAGAATATAATCGCAGGTTTCAACACTCATTCTGGTATTTACTCGAAATTTTTTTCTAGATGCATTCTATTTGTTGGGGAATTCTCCATCTAAGTATAACCCGATTCCTATTCAAATCAAGTATATTCGCAATCTTATCTAAATATTATGTCTAGAATCAAAAAACAATTACTTTCTAAGCAATATCGAGATAACTTTGATAAAGACATTTCACTCTCGGCCTATCTGGTCGCGGCGGCAAACGTGACTACCCGTGGCCCTAAAATCGCGCCGCGCGAATTTTCGCCCCGCCTGTCCCTTCGCCGTTCGCGC